AACTTTAATAGGTGCATTGAAAACTACTTGTCTAAATAATGCCCAACTTTGATTCAAACGGAGAGCTTTATGAAATTTCTGCCACAACTTTGATTCAAATAAAGTTTACGAATGAATCTATAAAGTGAAATTAGGTAGCTTTTCTTCATAAAACAACAAAGGTAGCAAATACTGACATTGAAGTGTTTACAACAGATGAAAGCAGAACGGATCCATATTGTAATTTCTAGTGCTCGTAGGCAAAGCTATTTGTTCTCTCAGAATATATTTACAGAGAAGCTGAAATCAATGTTCAAATATTTATAATAACAAAGTTGATGTTATATCAAGTAACAATAATCCAAAAAATAATCATAAATCCAATACGATCTGACACTTATGCTTAGGAACTGCTCTAAATTAACTAAAATATGCATGTTGGATGCAATCAAATATATATATGAATGTCACACAAAAAAAAAATCTATTTGCATGAAATATCAAGAGTACGGATATGGGAGAACTGCATCAACAAAGGGGGATGACTACAGCTTTGGTGTTCTTGCCCTTGAAATGGTCATAAGGAAGAGACCTACTGATGATATATTCACAGAAGGATTAATTCTGCCGAAATGGGTTAGAAACCATTTACCTACTCAGCAAGAATATCAAAGAAGCATTCACGGGAGAAACCATTTACCTACTCTGCCGAAATGAATCTATTCTGCCGAACGACTGCGATCCGGCGGAGACGAGAGGGAGAAGCAATGTTACGGGAGCAAGAGGCCAAGCCCCGCTGGATCCGGCGTCGAATGACAATGTTACGGGAGCAAGAGGCCAAGCTTTCGATCCAGCGTCGAATGGCAATGTTACGGGAGCAAGAGGCCAAGCCCCGCTGGATCCGGCGTCGTGCGGCTTCCTGACGGGAGCGAGAGGCGAACGGGTTGGTGTCGGGAGAACGGCTGCAATCTGGGCGAGGCTCGAACGAGTTGGTGACGGGAGCCGGGGCTTTGAACAGAGACGAGAGCGAGAGCGAGAAGCTAGCGTCACGGGAGAGGCGAAGGAAAAAAGAAGGTCACGGGCGTAAATTACAATCGGAAAACGCGGACCGCGGGCTGACCCCCGCGGTCCGCGTCTTTTTACAATTGAGAAAACACATTTTTCAATAATTTGGCGATAAGTCGGTACCAAACAGTGAGGCGGCGTTTTCAAAACGCCGCCTGCACTTATAAGCTGTCCCAAACGGGCCCTTAATTGTGCCATAAACTCCCAATTCATTGAGGTATTGAGGTGTGACTAAAAAATAACAACTCTCAGTGACTTTGTAAATATATTAACACTTTTTGTATAGGTAGCCTTTATGTCATGTTTTTGTATTCGATCAAGCATTCACACTTCTTTTAAATCAGAATCATTATATTTGTCTATTCTCGGTGTACAAGATTGATCATAGTATGCATGACTACTTGATTTTCATTAAAATAGTTTTGTCAGTTCATGATGCTTAAAAAGTATCTTAAAAAATATTTAGCTAGCATGGAGTTATGTTAAACTTTCAACTAATAAACTCAAAATTAATGTTTGATTTTTACTCCAAGCTTCAACAATGAAAGTATCAATTTGAAAGATTAAAGCATAACCTATTCCTAGGTCAAATTGAAGCTAAATGAATACATGTGTTTATCTTATGAATATTTTGTAAAAATAATTGTGTTGTTTTTAAAAACAAAAATAAGATTCACCCTGCATATTCAAATGATAATTGTATATGAAACAAATAAAATATCTCGTAAATTTTCATAATTTACACAAAAAATTGATAAATTTGATTTATTTGATTATGCGGTCATGTTTTTCTTAAGAGCAAACTCTTTTGTTTAATTGCATTCTATAGTTTGTGATCATTAATAAGATTGACGATAAATGTGGTGCATAACCATAAGAAACTAAATATGCTCAAATGTAGCCTAACCATATGTTGGGTTTTATATTTTGAGATGATGAGTCATATCAATCATATGCCATACTTGATAATATTATTGAAATGGGAGGCTCATAAGGTCATGGCAATTGTGATTATACTATTGAAGAATTACTCAATGTATCAGAAATAGATATTAGTCAAAACCAAAATCAATAATAGTGACTTAGCAAATCCAAGATGCCAGTGCATATATGCAAATATATATATATATATATATATATATATATATCATATAAATATATATATATATATATATATATATATATATATATAATCCTAATTGTGAGAGAGATTATATTCTATTTTGCAAACTCTTTGTGTTGGATACATGTAAATCAATCAATGGTATCTATCAATCTTTATCAAGCAAAGTGCTCTTATTGTATAAATAGCTATAAAACATAGATTGCACAAAGGATCACAACGGGTTTATGGATGATCATTTTTAAAATGTTAACTTAGGAAGAAGCCTTACAATAAGCTTTAATTAGTTTTCTTTGATTGAATTTAACTAGCTTGTAAGTTGTGGTAAGGAATTTAAAATTTTTATGGCTTAACAAGAACAAAAATAGGTCAATCTCAGTATAATATAACAAATCTATGAAAAAAACGTGCATATGCTAAGGCCCACAAAAAAAAAAAAAATTGCATAAATAAAAATGTAAATGTCCAAAGCATTGCTAGGATCTACAATACACGTAAAAAAAAATGAAAAACGAGATTATTTTGATTTTCAATCCATAAATGAGATGGTATGTCAGGTTTTCCATATCAAACACCATCTAGTACATATATGGGCCTTTACCATCCAATGCATTTGACATGTTTAAAAGTTTTCCTTGACTGAAAATGTATGGGAGGAAAAAAATTATAAAATACATAGATTCTTCCTCAAACATATTCCAGAGGTCCCGTATGGGTGCCTGGAGCTACGAATGCTATGAATGAGCTGTGAAACATTTCGAGCTAGTTAAGTGGACATCCTACACACATCAAATATTGATTCCAACATGCACATTGCACAGAAAAATAAATAATGCACATTTTATGACATAAACATACAAATATTTAAAATACTCCAAATTTAAAAAAAAAAATGATAAACTTTATTTTTAATTAAAAGAAATACAAGCTTTAGTTAATTGGATAACGAAATTGATTGCAATCAAAGTTACACATTACACATACTTGAGAAAGGAATTTCCTTTCTTAAATAGTTTAACTTTAAAGTGAAATGGGCTCAATTAGGATTGAAATTATTTGGTCCTTAGTTTGACCATATGACTCTCCATATCCATCTCCATAATGATAGAAGAATTGTCCTGTTCTTGGTACATCAACCAAAGCTTTTCTAAAAGACTTTATAGGTATTGAAAATGTAGTGCATTCTTGATTCAACTTCTTCCAATAATTTCTTATCAAATATCTAATATGATCCCGGGCAAATGGTTCCGAAACATTTTTCTCTCGCATATAACATTGAATTGATTTTGAGACATCTCCTCTTTGGATCTCTGCCTGTAAAAACAATATAAGTAAAATTCCATTAGGAGCACTACACATATCTATCTATCTATATATATATATATATATATATATATATATATATAAAATTAATGTTGTATGAATTTATATAAAATAAAAATGCATCCTTACCGTGGATGTTCCCAAATCATCATATAGTCGAAAAAGCATAGATGAATGGCGTGCGACAGATGGATAGAACTCTAATTTATTAAGAGCTTCACTAGTTAAGTCATCACTTAGACAATATGCTATAATTAGTATACAAGTTCCAGATATAGTAACCCAAGCATTTTCCAAGTACTCATTTAAAGTTGGAGTGTATCCACTTTGATACCATCTTGCTTCAACTAAGTAAGCTTTGCACAAATCTGCCCACTAAAATCATTGCTTATATTGGTCAGAAAAAAAGCCGAATGGATCATCTTAGTTTTTTAAAAAAATTCTTAGCAAAATGCATCATAAAACAATTTTATATCTAAACATAAGAATTCAAAGAAAAAAATTGAATCTATTTACAATTTAAAAGACATGCTAAATTGAAATAAATATTTTATTACCACTCGTTTTAGACATGGAAGAATATCTAACTCTTTTTCCACTGAGAATGAAGTGGCAATATCATTCATTGTGTTGAAAAGTGCGTCCAAACATTTCTTCATATAATTTGGAAGTTGTTGACCAGCATCTATTTTCCATCTAAAAGTTCCAAGAAAATGTTAACAATTTAAATGCATTTAAGTATCAATAATTTTTTTTTTCAATTGAGTGATATTTGATAATCATGGTTATAAGAACTAGTTTATGCATATTAAGTTTTTTTTATTGTATTTTCTTACTCTTCAACAGCATTTGTAAAGAGCTTCAGTTCATCTAAGGTACCATAGACATCGTAAATATCATCAATTGTTGTTACAAAACTATTCAACTTGGTGATTGCTTTCCTGATTCTCCAAAATTCAGGTTGAAATGTGAAGCCTAAGGCCATTAAATAGTTCTCCACCAGTCTATCTCTTGCAAAATTAAGCTCATCACATACAAGGCCAAGATTTTTCCACCACCTAAGGAACAAATCAAGAGCATTAGTATTTCGTGAAATAATTATGAGTTGCATTGCTTAGACATGAATAAACAAGAGCCATATAATACCTGGACATTTCTTGAAGCTCTGCTTTGTAGATGCTTTGCACAATGTTGAAATCTAGTGTAGCTAACTCAAGTAATGTGGGATTAACATTTTCTCGTGTCCCATAAACATCAATGAACCACCTAGCATGCAGTCTTGACATTCTCCAATGCAAGGGTAGCTCGAAAGCATGATTTATTTCTTCAATAATTTGTGGACTTAATAGAGATATGTCAAGGTTTCTCAAACGCTCCATTGCAATTTTTCCCGCTTCATCCAATTGTTCTTCTCCTTCCATGGCAAGGTAGGAAGCCTCATAAAAGCTAAGAAGTCCTTTGACATTATGTTGATGATTAGGATTGAAGTTTCCTCTCTCGCTTTTAAAGCAGTTAATCAAAGCTTCAACTCTGTTAAATTTTGATTAAAGGAAATTTCAGATGAACTTGCTGCTATGATGATGAAGAATTAATATACTAGTTGAAGCTAAATAATGAGAATTGTTTTGTTTATTGGCATTTAAGGCAAAACTTGAAAACATAAATGTGCTTCCAAATCTAGGATTAAAGAGTAAAAGGATAACTTGCCAATAGTTTAAGAAAATATATAATGAAAAAAGAAGAACAAAGATTTTTATCACCATTGCCATTCTAAAAGGATGACATTGGAATCAAATCAAACATAATGCACTCAACAACATAATTATCTTTAAAATTATGCATATGATGTATAGTTATGTAACTTCTTATTCAGACTTATATTGATTTTCTTCTCTTAATTGTAAGAAAACTATCATAAATATTTTATACGTGAAAGTCGAGAACTATGCCACTTAGAGATAAGCACCAAGCCTGTCAATTATAGGGGGGATAAAAACAAAATTACAGCAAAACTATATATATGAAAAAAATAAAATTTTAATTTAAAAAAATTTGTAGGCTAAAATCGAACCTAAGACCTCTTACACCTTAAGAATCAAAGAGGTCTTTGGTTAATTCATAACTCTTTATTTTTATTGACATTGATCTAATTAACTCTTAAATAGAAAGGTGATATGTATGTTAGTGTTAGTATATACCTTAGTAGTGAAGCATTTTTGATATCATATTCCCTTAGAAGCCTGAAGAGCAAGGCAGAGCCATGAAGGTTTCCATTCTCTATCAAATTGTTTATATTTACCGTTGATGAACTAATAGAACTCAATAAGTCCTTGATCTCTGAATCAAAATGATATTGAAGTCCTAGTTGGCATAGGGCATCCACCAGTTCAAGTTGTTCAATAAGGTCATGTTGTTTGCCAATCAAACCCCTCACTTGCTCCTTCAATATGTCCCTTCGATGTATATACTTCTCCTCCTGTGTGACATATATTATATCAACAATTAAATATAATTATTCTTATTGCGATGAGTATATGTTCACAAATATGTCGTTGTATGAGAATGTAAATTATAAAATAGGCACACATTTACATGCATATCACCCAATTCCTACGTATTTACATATCTATCATCTAAAATTTTGGTTTTTATATCTACACCAACCAAATCTTCCATGCCACATAAAAAAATTATCACAACTTTAAATTTTAAACGTGAAATTTATACATTTTTTCATGCATAGATAGTGTTATGTATGTAAAAATTGAAGCTTCGGAGTTAGATATGTAAATTTACATAATAATTGAGTGGTATGGATGCAAATCTTCCTAAAAAATGTAGGTGGTGCTTGGATGCCCTGCAATTAAAAATCTTAAATTTAATAAAAGACTTATATATACCTATCATTAATAACACTGACAAACTAAATCATGATAAATCTTTTTCAAACTACTGTGCATCTAACTGAAAAAGTTCTTCAAAATCAATCAAAATAATTTAATAAATCATCACCATGAAATCAATTGGCAGCGATTGTATGTAGTTATCATCCCAAATAGTTGGCTGATAATTTGCTGTGCGGCGAGCTGGAGTAGATGATACTGCATTAGCAGTTGAGAGGCAACATATAGGATGAAAATCTGCCAGTAATCGTCGGTGGCTTAGAAGACACTGGGAGGAAGAGGAGCTCAGGAGCGATGGCTTCTTGCTGAAGGGAAGTAGAGGAAAGCTAACGTACAGCGCCATAATTGATAATGTAATAAATATTTGTACTTATGTCTTACCTTGATAGCAAATGGGAACCCTTTCTACCTATTTATATCTCTGTGGTTGCTGCTAAGGTGAAATATGTTCTGTCACATAATTATATTTCAATACATTGAACTCGTTTATTATTGTAAACACAGATTAAATGTGCATAATTTACAGCCAAGCGAAGAGTTCTACTTCGAATTTTCTTTTCTAACAAGCAAGTTTTAAGACGTTTGTTATTATTTGTATTTATTTGTTTTTAACTTTTTGTGTTTTTACACATTTACAACATACTTCTTATTTTGATTTGACACTTTCCTATATTTTTACTTTTGCTGCTGATATTACACTCTCCTGCTTACTTTTATTATGCTTACTTTTACAGCTAGGTATTAATTTTATTAGTTTCCTTTTCTTGTTACAGATGGCTTCTGCTGGTGGTGGAGATCATCTACCTGACCAACCTGACTTGATTGGCCTGATCTTTTATAAATGGACAAAGAAATTGGTATCTCGCTTACCTCAAAAAACACCAATGTTGTGTTGATTAGCAGCATCACCTTAATCACAACCCATGCCTCACCTCCTATTACTGCTTTGTCTAGTACTACTGTTTCATTCCATCCACCCACCCATTCCATTGCATCCCTTCTCACACCTTTTTTGAGCACTCAGCCACCGCCTACTGATACGAACCAAGTGTGGTAGAGCACCAATGAATCACACAATGATACATGTCATATAAGTAGTACACGTGAATGAGTTCTTTGTATCAATCTCACATGGAACTAGTGAGTTTCCAAATCCAGGAAAAATTTTAATATATTGGTTTTGAGTTTAACTTGAAAGTTTGTTTGTTGGTAGGTTTTGGAAATGACTAAATTTTGCGAAATCATAATTCCTAATTTAACTTTCTGAGGAAACGGTGGCAAAATCATGTTTCTCCCTTGATTTGAATCCTAAATACCAAAGTTTAACCAAATGATGCAAGTTGGTAACTATCAAGACAAGCCCCTTCCAATGGAAATAAGAAAGCTAGGACAATCAACTAGTTTAGTTCCTTAAATCTAGTGAAATCACCAAGTTTAAACGTTTCCCTAGACGATAGCATTAAACCACGAGAAATATTTCTATTCTCTTGGTCTAATGAAGTTTATCCTAGATGTTCCACCATAAATACTTTTGTATCTCAAAAATCATAAATTATTTTAACTATATCGAGATTGCATGCAAATGAAGTTTTGAAGGATAAAATTTGTACTATAACATGATGCTAATAAAGTCACATCTAATCATCCAAACTAGAGTTCTTATTCATTAAATTAGGAGAGAAAAAATAATTTAGTTACGATTCATATTTTGAAACACAAAATACAGCTTTCATTTCATTCAAATGAAGGCAATTACAAAGACTTTTAGAAAGAATACAAACACAAGTTACACCCCGATAATCTTCTGATCCTCTGATCTCTTCGGCCTGTTGCTCGTAATTTTTTCTCCCACAGTTGCTCATGCCTTCTCCACTATCTCTCACAAAGACCTTTGTGCTCTGTAGGTTCCCTCCCTCTCTCACTCACAGTAACACTGACAACTCAAGAAGAATGAGTGAAGACTGAGAGAGTACCCCAAAATATGCCAGAGAGGGTGTCTTCCCTTCTTCCTAAAGTTCCCTTTTCGTACCCATCAATGACATGGATCAATGCCACAGATCTCCAGTGGAACAAAATCAATTCGTAGGTACTAGAGTTTCTAAGTGCAGCATCAAAGTATTGATTGCTCAAGTAACATTGTAGATGACCTATTGAATTAGTGTCCCAACACTTGTTGAACTGAAACTCCAACACCTTAAACATGGTAGGAGGCACCTCTGAACCGTATATGAGGTTCCATTGAGCCCCTTAGTTATATAAAGGGGTATGCCTTGGTGCTCCCAAGCCTAATACAAAGTCACATGAAGCTTAATGTGGCGCTTGATCTTGGTGGCGCTCCATGCCTGGTGCAAAGGCGCCAGTTGCTTAGGTGGGTGGTCATTTTTAGGCGCTATTCAGCGCTTAGGTGCCAACCCACTTGAGCCTAATTTTTTTTTTATGTTGAATGGCTCAATTTGGATCCCAGCTTCCATCTACTTTGATCCAATAGTTGTTAAGACCTATTTGAAGCTTTCATAAGTACATGAACACTGCAAATTACAAAAAATATTTGGAAAAGTATAAATAGAAGTAAATAATAGATAAATTTGAACAAAAACTCAGATATTTATTTCACATTATTCACACATATCACCTCTCACTCAGCCACCACCTTCCACTCAGCCACCACCTCCTTCTGAGCCACCACTACCCTTCTCCGATGCGTTAGGCCCCTCCGAATCAAGATACCACTGGATGGGTATACATTGAGTTAGGGGGAAGACTCATAAGTTATTTTTTACATTATAAAAAATTTAATGATCTTTTTGATATTCTGTGTAACTAATAATTTTATTTCAGGTTATATCCATCAAGGCCACCTGTGACACGCATCACGAAGATCATCAAGATTAGGTATGACACTTCGTATCTCTCTTGGAAGCTGATCTTCTTAGCAACTCAGAACATGTAGTTTAGGGAGTTCGAGATTGTTTCATTTCATTTGAATTAGAAATATATTTTCATATTGCTTTGTTATTACAAATAAGTATTACATAGTTTTAAATTTTCAAAGGTCCTTCTACTAGCTGTTAGAGTATCACTAACTGATTTGCCTTAATTTTGAGGTTTGGGACAGGCATCAGTTTGGTGACTTATTCACTAATGCATGTAGGAAAGGAGAGCAGCGGCACGGGGAGGAGATATTAGTTCAGCTGACTAGAGATTGGCCCTCTCCTGATTATCAAAGGAAGATGCAAACCACCAAAAAAAATGTGATGATCAGAAGCTTGGCCGACCACCAATCATTGCAGAGTTGCACGTCTGAACGCATCGACACCCAGGGACGCAACATCGAGTCTCTGACTTCTCTCGGCGTGTCAATGTAAGTAAAAAATGAATTTTCTATCCTTTTTACACTATTAATATAAATGGAAACTAATCCTTAGTTCTAATTATGTAGATGGAGTACGAGCGCATCCATGACATACCACTAGAGGGAGAGCGAGATCTCAATAGCCATGTGCATACATATATTTTTTCTTTTCTTGTAGCTATATTTTTCAAAGTCAACATTTAAAAGCACATTGCACAGAAACATAAATAATGCACATTTTAGGCCATGAACATACATAGATCTAAAATAAACAAAATTTAAAAGAGATATAATGCACATTTTAGGCCATGGACATACATAGATCTAAAATACACAAAATTTAAGAAGAGATAAACTTTAATTTTATTAATAGAAAAAAGTTTCGGTTAAGATAATGAAGTTGATCGCAAGTAAAATTACACATACCATATACTTGAGAAAGGACTTTCCCTTTTTAAAGAGTATCACTTTAAAGTGAAATGGGCTCATTTAAGATCAAAATTATTTGGTCCTTAATTTCATGATATGACTCTTCATGTCCATCTCCATATTTATAGAGGAATTGTCCTGTTCTTGGTACATAAACCAAGGCTTTACTAAAAGATTAAATAAATTTTGAAAATGTAGCGTGTTCTTGATTCAACTTCTTCCAATCAAGTTTTTTATCAAACATCTATTATGATTTGGGGCAAATGATTCTGAAACGTTATTCTCTTTCATATAAAATTGAATTGATTTAGAGGCATCTCCTCTTTGGCACAAATAACATTTCTTAATAGAAAAAAAAAGTTCAGTACAATAAGTATAATAATGAAATTATTCATCGTGTTACATGTTATAAAGTAAAAATGCAGACATTAATTTTAGGGCTATTTTAGAGTGCTCAAAACAAGAATTACAATAATGAAAATTATAATAAAATCATTGCCTTTATGGTTTTAACATTAAGCTTAAAACAATGAAAATTTCCTTGATTTCTATAATCTTCTTGTGAGTTTCCTTTAGTAATTTATTTTCTGTCACATTAGATGAAATAATGGAAAATGATTATTAGCTTTATTTAGATTTTTGGGGGCAACATACATAACAAGATCTAAAAGACAATAAATTTTAAACCAATAAAGTTTACATGCACAAAATAGTAGCATACAACCTTTGAATTAAATACTAAAAAACTAGATTTAAGTGATTGGAAAGCAAGTTCAAGCATAGCTAAATTATACATAGCATAAATCTGGGTAAATGAATCTTTTTTCTTAAGTGCATCACTTTTAAAATGGAATTGGCTCAACTATTACACATTTGATCCGATCCTTAGTTTCACTACTTGACTTTGCATATCCATCGCGATCATTATAGAAGTACAGTGCTGTTCTTGGTATATCTAATAAAGCTTTTCTAAAAGGCTCCAAGTGTTTTGAAAATATTCTATGTTCTTGATTTAATTTCTTCCAATATTTTTTTATTAAACATTTAATATAATCTCGAGCAGCATGTTCCGAAACATTTTTCTCATTCATATAACATTGAATTGATTTTGGAACGTCTCCTCTTTTGATCTCCTCCTGTAACAAGTAGAATTATATCATAAACATGTATTTTATACAATAATATAATATAAAGTAAAACAAAATATTACTTTTACATGCTTTTATATGAAATAAAAACTTGTATGTACCGTTGATGTTCCCAAATCATTATATAGTCGAAAAAGCATGCATGAATGGCGAACAATAGGTGGATAGAACTCCAAACTATTAAGAGCTTCAATTGTCAAATCCTCACTTAGACAATATGTTGCAGTTAGTGCACATATTCCTGATATTGTAACCCAAGCATTATCCAAGTACTCATTTAATGTTGGAGTGTATCCACTGTGATACCACCTTGCTTCAACTAAGTATGCCTTGCATAAATCTACCCACTAAAGTGCAATCATAACTTATTTTGGTTAGAAAATATACCGAACAAATCATTTTTTTCTGACTATGTTATATTGTATGACTATTTTATATATAAAAATAAGAATAGAAAGAAGAAGCTTGAATCTATTTTAAAATTTAAACGACATAAACTAATTAAAATATATGTTGTATTACCACTTGTTTTAAGCATGGCAGAATATCCAACTCCTTTTCCATTGAGAATGAGATAGCAATATCATTCATTGTACTGAAAAGAGCAATCAGGCATTTCTTCATGTAATTTGGAAGTTGTTGACTTGCATCTATTTTCCATCTAAGAGCTCCAAGTTAATGTTATAATAAGTTAGTTAATTGAGAACAATTTAACTAAAAATATTTGATTGCATTCAATGATCATTTCATGTTTATGATTTATGAATATTTGATAACCATGCTACTTAAAACAATTATATGCATATTATTAAATTTTTTGAGTTTCCTTACTTTTCAACGGCGTTTGTAAAGATTTCTAGTTCATTTAAGGTACCATGGACGTCATAAATATCATCAATTGTTGTTATGAGACTAATAAATTTGGTGAGAGCTTTTCTGCTTCTCCCAAATTCAGGCTGAAATGTAAATCCCACGCTCCATAAGTAGTTCTCCACAAGTCTATCCCTTATAAAGTTAAGCTCTGTGCAAACAAGACCAAGATTTTTCCACCACCTATGAATAAAAAAGAGAGGTATTAATACTTCTTGAAATAATTATAAAAAGAATTGCATATGTACATATAAAAATAAACATATTACATGGACATTTCTTGAAGCTCTGTCTTATAGATGCTCTGCACTATGTTGAAGTCTAGCTTAGCCAACTCAAGCAATGTGGGATTAAAATTCTCTCGTCTACCATATGCATCAATAAACCACCTAGTATGTATCCTTAGCATTCTCCAATGCAAGGGTATCTCCAAGGCATGATCTATTTCTTCAACAAGTTGTGGACTTAATAAAGATCCTTCAAGGCATTTTAAATGCTCCAGTGCAATTTCTCCAGCTTCATCTAGTTCTTCTTCTCCTTCAATACCAAGGTAGGAGGCCTCATATAAGTTGATCATTCCCTTGACATCATGTTGATTATTTGGATTGAAGATTTCTCTTTTTTTATTAAAGCAGCTAACAAGATCATTTACCCTACCAATAGATTGAAAAGCATTTTAGCAACACTTTTTACTAAGATGACTTAAAAATGATATAATACTTAAAGTTAATTATGGGTAATTGTTTGTTTCATTAAAATTTAACTTCATTTTTTTGAATATCCACATATCAGTCTAGCTAACATACAGTAAAACTAATTAAAGAGATTAATTATTAGCATTAAAAACTACATATATTCAAATTAAATTAAACATATATAGTTGCCTTAAAAATATTTTCATATTTATTTAGTTTATTAAATATATTTATATATGTTTTTTTTGATTTATAGGACAGGAACCTATTAAAAATATTTTAGTCCTAGAGTAAGGAACACAAGATTAACAATAGGCTTGTAGGCATGATGCTAATTCTAAAGTCAAGGATCAAGATTAATTTCAAAAAGAATTTTACACATATATAGAATGAATATTTAGTTTTAAAGAGGTATTAGGCCAAACAACTTGTGACTTCAACTATAGACATCATGGAAAAAATAACTTCAGCCATAACTCTTCAACTCCTTGAATTCAAAAAATAGCCTATAGATGAAATTACGAATAGAACATAACGCATTACTTTTCATTATTATAAATTATTCTCTCTCTCTCTCTCTCTCTCTCCCCCCCTCTTATCTCTTCTTTTTTTATGCTTTATTCCCTTGAGGTGTGATTCACATATAGATATGGATCTAAAATCCTAAAAAATGTGGTGAGTGTGGATCATGCCACAAACAAGAAGTAGAATAACAGAGACACCTGAAACATAAAGTGCACTTGGGAGTTTGTGAACTAGCTGATCAAGGAGTTGAAGAATCAAATGTTGGATGTCATCCGAAGTCATTGGCCTGGGGGGAGAGAACAACATCCACTGAAGGAAGGGCCTGTGCACAACATCTGAAGGGCCCTCTTGACTTTAGAAATATAAGGAGACTTTCAGTACATCGATAGTGTTGGTTTGAATCCAATCGATAGACACTAGTTCGAGTGCGCGAAGGCACCATGATAGCCAGAGAATACATTCTCTCTGCAAATCTCCAAGGTCGAGAGCCTCCCAAGAGGTTTAGGACCCTGCACTAGAATCCTACAAGGGTCGAATTGATCTGGTTGATCATATAGTTTCATTTGAATTGACCGTGTGCTTATTGAATATCACTGAGACGCAAAAGTTTCATTTTTTCTTCATTACACTAAGGAAGTTGATCCTGAAATGGTTCAACAGTTTACCACTGGGGGTGATTGCCTCCTTCACTAAATTTATGAGAACGTTTGTGGCACAGTTTGTCAGCGTCCAAAAGCCCCATAAGAATTCTGTTGACCTCACTTTTGGTTGAGGTCTAGAAACTTCTTTAATAGCCTAGGTCTAGCCATAGGACTTTCCTATTGACTAGTCTTAGAAAATTAGAAAAGGTACCCCCACCATTAGAAATTCAAAACTCTTCTTTTACTCAACTTGAAATTCCACATATTGATCTTAACCTCTAGCATTTAGTAGGTAAGATCATTATAAGAGAATTCAAGAAGAGTCCCTATAGGATTACTTGGCTTTAGGATTGACCCTGGGTGTTGACTTGGAACTAGGGTACAGGTGGGTCACCTTATTCCAAGGTTATAACAAATAAAATATTACTCAAGATCTATTCAAATCATATCAACATATAAAATCAACATATCATCATATTAAGGTGGGTCACCTTATTCCAAGGTTATAACAAATAAAATATTACTCAAGATCTATTCAAATCATATCAACATATAAAATCAACATATCATCATATTAAGGTGGGTCACCTTATTCCAAGGTTATAACAAATAAAATATTACTCAAGATCTATTCAAATCATATCAACATATAAAATCAACATATCATCATATTAAGGTGGGTCACCTTATTCCAAGGTTATAACAAATAAAATATTACTCAAGATCTATTCAAATCATATCAACATATAAAATCAACATATCATCATATTAAGGTGGGTCACCTTATTCCAAGGTTATAACAAATAAAATATTACTCAAGATCTATTCAAATCATATCAACATATAAAATCAACATATCATCATATTAAGGTGGGTCACCTTATTCCAAGGTTATAACAAATAAAATATTACTCAAGATCTATTCAAATCATATCAACATATAAAATCAACATATCATCATATTAAGGTGGGTCACCTTATTCCAAGGTTATAACAAATAAAATATTACTCAAGATCTATTCAAATCATATCAACATATAAAATCAACATATCATCATATTAAGGTGGGTCACCTTATTCCAAGGTTATAACAAATAAAATATTACTCAAGATCTATTCAAATCATATCAACATATAAAATCAACATATCATCATATTAAGGTGGGTCACCTTATTCCAAGGTTATAACAAATAAAATATTACTCAAGATCTATTCAAATCATATCAACATATAAAATCAACATATCATCATATTAAGGTGGGTCACCTTATTCCAAGGTTATAACAAATAAAATATTACTCAAGATCTATTCAAATCATATCAACATATAAAATCAACATATCATCATATTAAGGTGGGTCACCTTATTCCAAGGTTATAACAAATAAAATATTACTCAAGATCTATTCAAATCATATCAACATATAAAATCAACATATCATCATATTAAGGTGGGTCACCTTATTCCAAGGTTATAACAAATAAAATATTACTCAAGATCTATTCAAATCATATCAACATATAAAATCAACATATCATCATATTAAGGTGGGTCACCTTATTCCAAGGTTATAACAAATAAAATATTACTCAAGATCTATTCAAATCATATCAACATATAAAATCAACATATCATCATATTAAGGTGGGTCACCTTATTCCAAGGTTATAACAAATAAAATATTACTCAAGATCTATTCAAATCATATCAACATATAAAATCAACATATCATCATATTAAGGTGGGTCACCTTATTCCAAGGTTATAACAAATAAAATATTACTCAAGATCTATTCAAATCATATCAACATATAAAATCAACATATCATCATATTAAGGTGGGTCACCTTATTCCAAGGTTATAACAAATAAAATATTACTCAAGATCTATTCAAATCATATCAACATATAAAATCAACATATCATCATATTAAGGTGGGTCACCTTATTCCAAGGTTATAACAAATAAAATATTACTCAAGATCTATTCAAATCATATCAACATATAAAATCAACATATCATCATATTAAGGTGGGTCACCTTATTCCAAGGTTATAACAAATAAAATATTACTCAAGATCTATTCAAATCATATCAACATATAAAATCAACATATCATCATATTAAGGTGGGTCACCTTATTCCAAGGTTATAACAAATAAAATATTACTCAAGATCTATTCAAATCATATCAACATATAAAATCAACATATCATCATATTAAGGTGGGTCACCTTATTCCAAGGTTATAACAAATAAAATATTACTCAAGATCTATTCAAATCATATCAACATATAAAATCAACATATCATCATATTAAGGTGGGTCACCTTATTCCAAGGTTATAACAAATAAAATATTACTCAAGATCTATTCAAATCATATCAACATATAAAATCAACATATCATCATATTAAGGTGGGTCACCTTATTCCAAGGTTATAACAAATAAAATATTACTCAAGATCTATTCAAATCATATCAACATATAAAATCAACATATCATCATATTAAGGTGGGTCACCTTATTCCAAGGTTATAACAAATAAAATATTACTCAAGATCTATTCAAATCATATCAACATATAAAATCAACATATCATCATATTAAGGTGGGTCACCTTATTCCAAGGTTATAACAAATAAAATATTACTCAAGATCTATTCAAATCATATCAACATATAAAATCAACATATCATCATATTAAGGTGGGTCACCTTATTCCAAGGTTATAACAAATAAAATATTACTCAAGATCTATTCAAATCATATCAACATATAAAATCAACATATCATCATATTAAGGTGGGTCACCTTATTCCAAGGTTATAACAAATAAAATATTACTCAAGATCTATTCAAATCATATCAACATATAAAATCAACATATCATCATATTAAGGTGGGTCACCTTATTCCAAGGTTATAACAAATAAAATATTACTCAAGATCTATTCAAATCATATCAACATATAAAATCAACATATCATCATATTAAGGTGGGTCACCTTATTCCAAGGTTATAACAAATAAAATATTACTCAAGATCTATTCAAATCATATCAACATATAAAATCAACATATCATCATATTAAGGTGGGTCACCTTATTCCAAGGTTATAACAAATAAAATATTACTCAAGATCTATTCAAATCATATCAACATATAAAATCAACATATCATCATATTAAGGTGGGTCACCTTATTCCAAGGTTATAACAAATAAAATATTACTCAAGATCTATTCAAATCATATCAACATATAAAATCAACATATCATCATATTAAGGTGGGTCACCTTATTCCAAGGTTATAACAAATAAAATATTACTCAAGATCTATTCAAATCATATCAACATATAAAATCAACATATCATCATATTAAGGTGGGTCACCTTATTCCAAGGTTATAACAAATAAAATATTACTCAAGATCTATTCAAATCATATCAACATATAAAATCAACATATCATCATATTAAGGTGGGTCACCTTATTCCAAGGTTATAACAAATAAAATATTACTCAAGATCTATTCAAATCATATCAACATATAAAATCAACATATCATCATATTAAGGTGGGTCACCTTATTCCAAGGTTATAACAAATAAAATATTACTCAAGATCTATTCAAATCATATCAACATATAAAATCAACATATCATCATATTAAGGTGGGTCACCTTATTCCAAGGTTATAACAAATAAAATATTACTCAAGATCTATTCAAATCATATCAACATATAAAATCAACATATCATCATATTAAGGTGGGTCACCTT